TATATAAGGTCCATCTTGTCTCCATTAAGATGCTCAGATTCCTAAAATCTAGCCATTGCTTCGAGTCTTATAATCTATCCCCTGCTGAGATTCTTAAAATCCATCCACTGCTGAGATTCTTAAAATCTAGCCACTGCTTGGATTCTTATAATCTGGCCAATAGCTTGCTAATGTTCAGATTCCTTAAGAGTCTGCCCAATATGACAGATGTTCTAATAAACCTTGTCTTTGGCTGAAAAAAAAATAAATGTTAGCTATTATTATTAATGATAGGTGGTATTCATAATTGTGCCCCAAAGGCAGATTTTGAAGCAGCCAGCAACATAAGAAAACATGCTGCTTGTACAATATCAGACTCTAGAATGAATTGATTTTATAGGGGGAAAAATGGGTGATTACATATAATCTATGATGCAATTTTTGTATCTTGAAATAAATGAATTGCTTTTGGACTAGTAGCAAAAGCTTCAGGATAATTGCCCCTATTTCAGTGTTATGGTCCAAGAAGAAATTCACGGTATGTACCTAAAACATTTTTTACCTGTGTACCCAAGACACTCTGTCAACTATTTGCTTTCCCTTTGCTCTGTATTCCTACTACTTCTGGGGTCTGTTTATATTTTCAATCCTAAATGCCTTTCCAGCCTCGATGGATCTTAGTAAGACTTCTTTTTTAAAAAAAGCATTTTTGGCAGGCAGCTAGGTGGTGCAGTGGATAGAGCACCAGCTCTGAAGTCGGGAGGGCCTGAGTTCAAATCCGGCCTCAGACCAAACACTTGACACTGGGCAAGTCACTTAACCCCAACTGCCTAAAAAAAAGTTTTCTTGTTGCTTTTTTTCTCCATGAGGAGCTTAGAATTTACTCTTAATGAAATATAGCATCCTTGTCTGCAGTTTTCATTCCAAGGTTTTTGGTGACTAAATTTAATTTAAATTAAATCTAATTTAATTTAAAGGTGACTTTTGAATTGGAGTAGCCTACCATTGATGGGGTTGGGATTTGGGCCCCAGAAAGGAAAAACCCTGGACTTTCCCACATGGCCAAATCTCTGGCATTCACCTGAGGCTATAATCCCACCAACTGGCCTTTCACTGTGGCTACACCCAATCTACCCTCCATTGTCTTACCTCCCTATGGCCCCTGGTCATTTCCCACCCTTGGTCCTAACTAGGCTTCATCCTCCCTTGGCCACTCGGTCCAGGTCCCAGGAGCTCTATTCACCCCAGCTTACTGGCCACTCCTAGGTCCCTCCCACGGTCTTTCTGTATATAAGGTCCATCTTGTCTCCATTAAGATGCTGAGATTCTTAAAATCTAGCCACTGCTGGGATTCTTATAATCTACATGGCCCAGCTACTAGCTTACTAATGTTCAGACTCCTTAAGAGTCTGCCCAATACGATAATGTTCTAATAAACCTTGTCTTTGACTAAAACAAGTCTTGCATTGAATTTTTTCAGGCAGGACCCGCATGTTGTGATATTGGGGTTCCAGTACCCCTGAACCCCTAAACCACATCACCATCTCATTGTTTTGACTTTTGATTAGTAATAGGATTACTCTCCAGCTAGGTGGTACAATGGCTAGAGCTATGCTGGGCTTAGAATCAGGAAGACCTGAGTTCAAATCCAGCCTCAGACACTCAGACACTTACCAGCTGTGTGACCCAGGGCAACTCACTTAATCCTATTTGCCTCGGTTTCCTCATCTGTCAAATGAACTGGAGAAGGAAATGACAAACCACTCCAGTATCTTTGCCAAGAAAACCCCAAATCGGGTCATGAAGAGTTGGATGTGACTGAAAAGAATGAACAACAACAAACTTGCTGCAACATTTCCTCTGTCATGTGTGACACTGAATACCTTGGCCCCCCACTACCTGAAGGCCACGAATGTTACATTTCACTCTTCTCCTAGAGTTCTCCAGTACCCTTTAGGAATTTTGGAGTATTTAGGCCAAAGGTGGGGAACCTGCAGGCTCAAGGCCACATGGGGCCACAGGTTCCTCACCCCTGATCTAGGCTCTCTGCCAATAGTCATTTTGTGGAAGAAAATTCAAACCAAATAAAAGAGAG